CAGTTTTGTTAATCTTGTTTGTACTTTGCCATAGCCACGTTTTTTTTTGTCATAGCCATGTTTTTTTTCACAGTCATGTTAATCTTGCTTTATTACTTTGTCCATAGTTTTCTCATAGCCTTGTTTTGAACTTTGCCCGCATCCACTCCGTTTGAGTGCGTTCTTGTTCAAAGAAAACCCTTGTTTCTGAATCTCCGCGACCGAGTCCTCCCTCAAGATCCACCCGCATGACACTTCCTACCTTTAACCACATGTTCTTTTGAGCGTTGTATATCTATAATGTGCTTTAATAACCTGTGTGACCCAGTAAGCTGGACTGAGACCCGTTCCAGTAATTACCCCTAAATGTCCTCTGGAACTTAGTGAACCCTTTGAATTACTCACATAAGACACAGTCTGACCTTTAGATTTAAATTATTCATAATCTAATCCTGTAAAAAAAAAGCTTTATGTAAGAAATAAAGAAAAAAAAAGAAGAAGAAAAAGAAATAATCTCCTTGGATGTCTTTACTGGACAGATGATTTAGTTAAAAAACAGAAAACTTTTTTTTGCTGGTGTGATTTGGGTAATTCAGTTTAATTAAATCAACCTCTTCTAAGTTCAAGTGCCTGCACCCCTGACCTTCTTTCAAACTAATTTGATTATAACCTGAATAGATTGTTAATCAACCCAAAGGCTGACGCTTGGCAGGTGGAAGGTGGACATTTGCTATTGATTTAATTGCCCTAATTAAAGTTAGTCCATTCATTTTCTATGTAAATTCATCTATTAAAAAGAAAAGCCTTCCATTTATTCTCCCCAGGTAGATTTGCTCAAAGTATGAGAAAAATGCTAAATTGCTGTGTGTAACCTGCTTGTTCAAAGTTCACTGAATAAGTAACCACACGTTTATCTGCATTTATATATATAACAATTATTAATTCAAACAAAAAAAAGCACAGAGAGCATTTATTTTCCATTGTGCAATATTCAGTGTTAGTGAGATTCAATTTGTCCAAAAAAGTCAAAAACAGGTTAGTTTGACAGGAATGGATTGAGATTAAGTACATATGAAAGAGATTATTTAACCCTTTAAAGCCTGATCCAACAATAAAACAAAACAGAAAATGACTTTTTTGGGGTTCGAATTCCTTATTTGGCCTTTTAACAAAACATGTAAAAAGAAAAAACAGAAATACTTTTTTAATATTAATAATTTATTACTATGTGATAAATCGAGATTATTTTTAGTGTAGTCTTCTGCCCCCTGTTATCAGGTATATATGATTGTGTACAATAGTATTTTGAACAAAGTTTTACCATTAAATTATGCAAAAGGTGTCAGACTCAAAACATTTAAGAAACCATATGAATCAAATATTATACATTTAGCATTACAGGGTTAATAAATGTACCAAACCCTCCTCCAAATACAAGAGAAAAAAAACAGGCTGTGTTGGATTCCTTCCACTTTGACTCTCTCTCAGAGATCTGCTGTTATATTTTTTTCTCCATAATTCCCGACAGCAGGTGTGATATCACTGAGAACAGAGAGAGAGAACCATCTTTCAAAGAGATGACAAAGATTAGTGAGCGACACAAAGGGGCCGAGGCTGTGGCTCATGACAGCAAAACGTCTCAATCTGAACCCGGCAGGAGCCACCCAGAGAGAGAAAAGCAGAAAGGGAAACGCAAAAACGAAGATGGATCGCATAAAATGTGTGTGAGTGTGTGTGTGTTTATAGTAAGTTATTTTGTACTGTTTCAAACACAACGGCCACTCGAAAAGCTTCACAAAAGGATCAGGATTTAATACTTAATTAAGGATTTAATAATTTCTTACTAACCTCACCACCCCTAACTCTAACATTCCCCTCATTCTGCACAGTTTTATTCATTCCATTTTTATTAAATTCATTTATGATATTTGTATTTATTATGTATTTATGACTTTGTATGTTTTCTTATGTTTCAATGTTGTTTTAATGATGAACGCCTTTGTAAAGTGTCCTTGAGTGGCATGAAAGTTTTTTTTATTTTTTTATTTTATTTTATCATATTTTATATTTTCTTATCAGGATTATTCTTCTTATTATTATTATTATTATTCTTATTCTTATTCTTCTTCTTATTCTTCTTCTTCTTCTTCTTATTATTATTATTATTATTATACATTAATAAAAAAAACAACTATTTGAATGTGTAAATTGTACAGAAAGAGTTAGAAAAAAAAGTCAAACTGACATTCAACCTGAGAAAGACGTGGAAAAAACAGCAGAGTTTTCACTTTTAATGTGTCCAGAGTTGAGGCACAATCAAAATCAAAGGAAGTTTGCTAAATAAGCTAAAGTATTTAGTATTTAGTATGCATTTAGTAAGCTAAATGCATCTTCACCTGTTTGGGTCCGAAATAGAGCTTCTACCAGCTCTCAAAGCCAAAAAAAAGTTGCTTTTAAGGACATCTGTGACTGTTTATTAATTTTTCACTGATACAACGACACAAGTTGGATTCATCTTCGTGTCCAGGCCTGATTTAAGATGCAGAAGAGTTCAGAATCCCCAGATTCTGGAGTCCGTGCTGCTGGATTTGGGCATTTTCATGTGGAAAAACGCAGCATTTCTCCACCAAAGTTCTGCCCACTTATCAATCTATTGACTTCAGAATGAAGTTCTGTCAGGAGGGGGGGGGGGGCTCTGCGACACCAGCCTCTGTGTTGTCTTTCCAGACTGGGTCTAATAAAGGGAAAATGAGCCCGGGGACTCTGGGACGAGCTGTCCCATAAAAATAAAAAAACACACACACGGCAACTAATGCAATTACAACTTTCGTGCGAGGACGTGGAACAGATGGATGACGGGCGCTCACCACTTTTGAAACTCACGACTTCGGACGAAATGCAAGAAAATAGCCCCCCCCCACACCCCCCCAGCATCACCCACTTGATTATTGGACCAGGAGGGCGTTAGCAGAAGAAGAAGAGACAATCTCACTGGTTAGTTTTGCACTATTTTTGCAAAATGTCTACAATCGCTTGTCCAAAAAAGTCAAATTTTGTAAACTACACACACACACAGACACACACAGACACAGACACACACACACACGAACCAATCAGCTCAGAGAGTTATTCATCAGCCACCTGTGACATGGAGCCAGGAGCCAAACTGTATCATCTGCCCAATTACACTGTAATCCACGCGCCCCGCAAGCAAAATGCTGTAATTGCACTGTATGAAACACCAACCTCTGCCCCCCCCCACAACCCCCCAACAGCAAAAGCATAAACACTTCTCCAATAAGCAAAGCCACGGATGAGGAACGGCGTTTCCGAGAGGCCTCGTTCTGGATCCAAACCTCCACCGTACTCCGGCAATTTGTGTGAAAACGTTCATAATTCACACTAACTCCGGAGATAAAAGCACGCTCTTTTATTTGACGTGTCCGATTAAAGTCCTGGTCTTATTGGGGGTGGGGGGGGGGGGTATTCCCCCATGATTCAGGATTAATAGGCATTTCTGTGTATCTGCTATAAATACGTAACACAACAGTTTATCCAACACATCTACTAAAAACGGGGGTCCATACATGACTCAGTTTCCTCATAATATTAAATGTCTAACAGCCAGATCTATGATGTTCAACCAATGAAAAGGAGGCATTAATACCAGGATTGGAGCGAATGTGGGCGGGACTATGATGACTTTAATAGTTTTACAGGTTTCTCAGGCTGTGGACTCCTGCTAAAAATACTAACTTTGTCTCTGTATCCTAATTTCTTGCGTCCGCGTCATCTATTTTGGAGCTTTGCTTTGATTTTCGCCATCCAACTTCCTCTTCAGGACTCAATTTTTAGCTTTTTAGCTTTTACCGATCCTCTTGAGAAGATAAGTCTTGTCAGAAAACAGCTTTTTTCATGATTTAATCAAATGATGTCTTTATCCAGACAGATGTAAGGCAGATTTCAATGTCTTTTAACAGTAAAAAGGCTTTTTAATGCCTCTAAATAGAAATATCTGTGTGTGTGCACGTGTTACAAACAGCCAGAGCATCTTTTGCTGTGTGTGTGTGCGCGCTGAGAGGCTTTTTGTGTGTCTGTGAGTGTGCATTTCCTGTAGGCCAGGTAATCCATCACAGCGGAGTCAGGAAACATGATCACATTAATCAGCTCGGATCAATGTCACGCAAATGTCTCTGCATCTTGTGAAAAAAAAATAACAAACAGTCGCGATTAATAACGCTGAGGAACGACATCCTGCATCAGGGAAGAAAGAAAATAAACCGAGCGCACACTCAGATGTGCTGCTTTATTTAATACAGTCGCACTACAATTTGAACTACAATTTCCCTGTTTTTGTCTGTTTTGTAAAGTATTTTACTGTGTGAGGTGGGTGTGGGGGGGTTAAATTGATCTCAAACAGTATTACAAATCAATACAGATCAATTTTATGCATTCTATGAAAAACGTTAGACCCTATGTAGTGTTAATATGGCAACAACTCTGTAGTGTTAAAAGAAGAACACACATTTGGTACTAAATTTTGACACTATGCACTGGTGTTGGATAAATTTAACACTACCCAGTGTTGACTAGTGTTAAATGTTAACTATTTTTAACTATTTAAAGAGTTGCTGGAACTCTGTCACAGTGTTCAAAATTGAAGTTTTAACACAATCTAGTGTGGACCAATTGAGACACTTTTAAAGTGTTGAATTTAACTTTGTAGGTGTTGAATTAGCACTGCTGATTTCTGCTGAATCTCTCTGGTGTCAAAAGCTGTGTGGTTTAACTTTTTTCAACCACAAAAAGACTTGTCCTCAGATTTTAAATGGGGAACTACAAAGAGCTGTTGGACTTTGTGGTCCTGGTGAAAACAAACGTTTGTCATGCATATATTTGCATTGGTGCCTCGAAGGCTTTTGGAGGAGGGACTCAGGTTCAAATCTTAGATGTCATCATCATGGAGATCCCCTCGAGAACTGGAGGAGCAGCGATGAAACGAATGCTCCTTTTAATCTGTTAATTGAATCCCTCGTCTTCTGTAAAAAGAGCCAGGAGCCTTTTGGTGCTTCACGTTCTGGCCTCTCGGCCGCTAATGAAAATCTACCCGGTTTCTTTATTTTTCAAAGGTCTGGGTGCGTAAAACTGATCTAAACTGCTGTCATGCACCTTTCCCTTGCTGTAATTTAGGAGGAACAGCTAAAGGTCAGCGTGCACTCGGCCGTGAAGAGGTCTATTTTTTTCTTTTTTTTTGCCTCCGGCCGCCAAAGTGACGGTTCTGAAACAACCTCCGGCAGTTTTCTGTTCTCCGCTTGAAGAAGACTGATGTATCAAAAGGGTTGGTGCCTCTTTCTGACACGTCTGCCTAACGGCCTCGGCACTGAGCGCTTGCCTTAACTCGTCTTGGTCGTGGCATTTAGCACCTTTTTTGGTAAACAAGTCCCGGAAAATACCCGCCTCCGTTCACTAGTCAGCCACGCTTCTTTAAATAAACCCCAGACTTAACTGGGATAACTAGAAACTCTTTGCTTCGTTTGAAATAAAACCTTAAGATTGTCATGCTCAATGCATTTAATGAACAAATTTGAGAAAAAATGAAGGATTTGGATGAATAATTCATTGCGGTGAGCCTCTGACTGTATCTCTTACGGTACATTTGTTTGTATTACCTCCACGCCCCCCTAGGTTATACGGAAAACATCTCTTATTCAAGGTTTGAAATGTATAAGGAAAGAAAGGAACAATAATCAAACAATGAAAAAGGAGGACTTGTGATATTTTGTCTGTCTAAAAATAGCTTTTTTCCAGTTTCTTTTACATTTTCCACGTTTCTTATTCGAAGCAGAGCATCATGAGGTGGTCCTGAGATGTCAAATCATAATTTCAAAAGTAGCCTGTGAATCAATCTCTCAGATGCAACAAAATGAAAGTGTTTTGTTTTTGAAATACACAAAAGTAAAAAAAACAACAGAAAATTGCATTCAGCTCAGTTTATTTCTTTAGTCCAGTATTTAAACTTCAATAAAAAAAATTCTATGCTTCAAAGTTCCTCAAAAATCTCAGTTTGAGGGTTTGTTTTTTTACATTTTCTTTGGGGAAAACATGACACAGGATCGAGTTTTCTCTCTGGTTCACTGTTCAAACAAGGTTTGAACAGGGTTTTGCCTTAAACTTGGCAATTACAAGTCAACTGGCATCTTTTTAGATCTCTTTTTCCTTTTATTTTGATTTTTTTTAGGTCTCTAACCGGCTTCCACAAAGGTCATCCGGTTCCCCATGGTGGAAAAACTAAACAAGTCCAAATCGGTGGCGGTGACTCAAAAGTGTTGACCGTGTTAGAGTCTCGATTTTTGAAAAAGAGAGGCGAGGAAAAAACAAATCCACAAGAAATGTGTGTGAGCGTAGAGGTGGAGCGGAGAGAGGGTGGATGAAGAGGGAGTCTGTGGAGGGGGGAGCTAAGAAGAGGGTGAGGGGGGAGGTCAGGGAGAGAGCGATAGTCCAGTAATTGGTTTGAACTTGAGCGGAGAGGCGGCGTGACTCAGTCAAAAGCGAGAGACGAGTTCCCCGTGGTGGGAATAAAGCCCCGCTCTCACGGAGTCCTGTTTACGAGCACGAGAGGCAAAACGGGGAGAGAGAGAGTTTCCGGGTGGGTGAGGTTTGACCACAGCCGAATGGAGGAGCTGGACGTGAGTGGACAGGACCACTGGGGCCGTGGTCATGTGACCTGACAGACCACCGATAGACTGAAGTCTGCAGGGGGGCCTGTTAGGATTCGGCTATAAATACTCACTTTAGCATCGTACGCTATCACATGATCTATATACAGTGGGGGAAATAAGTATTTGACCCCTTGCTGATTTTGCAGGTTTGCCCACTTACAAAGAATGCAACGATCTATAACTTTAATCATATGTACATTCTAACAGTGAAAGGCAGAATCCCAAAGAAAATTCCAGAAAATCACATCATATGAATTTATAAAAATCGATAACCATCTGATGAGGAAAAATAAGCATTCTTTGTAAGTGGGCAAACCTGCAAAATCAGCAAAAGGGGTCAAATACTTATTTCCCCCACTGTAAATTACTGATTGTTTTATTTTCTTTCTAAATTTTGTATATTGAAGTCTCTGGCTGTGTCCATATACTCTCTTTTTCTCTTTTCTTTTCTCTCTTTTTCTTCCTCTGTTACATTAGATCCACCTTTAGGTCAACACATACACACACCATTTGTTACCACATTCCTGTCATCTGCATGAATTAGGACTTGGCCTGTTCATGCCCAGAGGTAACTAGCCAATAGGACTTGGTTGTGTCCAGTCCTCCTTTTGAGGGGTGTGCCCAGCCCAGGAGATAAAGTGAAGCCTTGAGCCAATAAATGTACATTTTTTTACTCTTGATCTACTCTGGTTTATTCTCAGGTTTCCAACTAAAGAAGGCGTTCTCCTTCTGTTTTCTCTTCTCCGTTACTTTCCGACCTGAAATAGATTATCAGTTTTTTTTTCCCCCTGCTTATTAAACTTTCATGGGCCGTGTAGCAGCTCCAGGAAAAAGCTAAATTATGTTTAATGCTCCTTTTCTAGACTATACGTGGCACTTTTCCCCCAAGGTTGACGTAAACCTTTTGCTTAAAGGCTCTCCTAGCAAGTTTGTGGCTTTCGTAAATGTCAGAAATCGTGTTTACTCGTACGATTAAACCAGTCTGATTCATTTATGTAACGGATCACATTTGAGAAAATCAGCACGAATGATTCCAGGCTGCTTAATTCCATTTTAGTTTAATCAAACCGATATTTGAACTTGAGTAAAGCTCATGTTGGAGCTCTTTCTCATCCAGACATCCAGCCTCTCTCATCCCCCGGTGGAAATCGCTTCTAAAAACAGCCCACAGAACCCTGATTAAACTGATGGAAACAGAAATTACTCTGCGCTCGAACTGCTGCCGCAACTTCTACTTGAGTTGTACACGCCCCCCCCCCCCCTGGAGAAGCCGCTGTAATTATCTTGTCACGGGCTGGATTGGTGTGTTAAACACAACTGATTAAACTCGGGCTGACTGGCAGAAAGTATAAGCGGCTTCAGCGTCCCTAATGAAGAGGGATGAGGACCGGAGCCGAGCCACTGTCAGACGGTAAATGCCACACATTTGTG